ATGGCAGAGCAGCGTCCACTGTGGTGGGCGTTGTGGCGGCAGCTGTTCCGGTGGATGTGGCTGGAGCCGAGCAGAGAGCAGGTGGAAAGTAGGGCCAGGCTATAGTTCACACAGATGGTGGCTGCTTCAGCCAGCCAATTTCTGTTTGGTTGGTTGGTTGGTTTTTTTTTTTTTTCGAGGCAGGGTTTCTGTGTAACAGCTTGGCTCCCCTGACACTCTCTCTGTAGACCAGCTGGCCTCAAACTCACAGAGATCCTCCTGCCTCTGACTCCCGAGTGCTGGGATTTAAGGACTGTACCTCCATGACCAGCCAGCCAGCCAGCCAGTTTTTAAGAGCCTGGTGGCACCCAATATCACCAGCAATTGGGGAATTACTGTTCAGAGCGGGAACCTGTGGCAGTCATTTCAGACTCAAACTTATGGACCGCCATTTATTTTTTCAACCCCACTCCCCACCATTGTTTGAGCTTTTAAACTTGGATATTATATCTTTTTCCACACAGAAAAGTTAACTTTCTTTAGTCAGTTTTTTTAAAAAATTAATGTTTAGGTGCTAGAGAGATAGCTCAGTGCTTAAGAACACTTGGCTAGTGTTTCAGAAGACCCAGGTTTGGTGCCCAGCATCTATATGGCAGCTCACAGCCATCTGTAACTCCAGTCCTAGAGGATCCAACACTCTCTTCTGGTCTGCCACAGACACCAGGCACTTATGTGGTGCACAAACCTACTTGCAGGCAGCAATACACATACAATAAAAAAAATTTAAATTAAGGGTTTTTTTTTGTTTTCTTGGTATGTCTTTCCTACCTAGTGTTATAGGACTATTCTTTTCTTTTTTTTTAAATATTTATTTATTTATTATGTATACAATATTCTGTCTGTGTGTATGCCTTCAGGCCAGAAGAGGGTACCAGACTCCATTACAGATGGTTGTGAGCCACCATGTGGTTGCTGGGAATTGAACTCAGGACCTTTGGAAGAGCAGGCAATGCTCTTAACCTCTGAGCCATCTCTCCAGCCCAGGACTATTCTTTTCTATATTTTATAGTATATTTTAAATTTTTGCTCAAGTCGAGAATATTTTTTTCTAATTGTATCAAGGGAGAAAACAAATATTGCTTATCCACTGATTTGACGTACTGTTTTCCCATCTGTAAAGTCGCAAGTGGATAGGCCTGGTTATTGATTCTGCTTTTCCCATTGATCAGTTTGTTCGTCCCTTTACTAACAATAAAATATTTAATTACGCCAACATTCTGATTATGGCTGATATCACTCCCAGAGGGGCAAAACCTCTCCCAAAACTGCAAAGATTGCTTTTGAAAGGGGGGAGGGTACCTTTTTTTAAAGTATGAAGCATAGAAAAAGCAGTATATAGAACATACCTATGGTTTGAGATTTTTATAGAGGATGAGGTAAGTGAACTAGGAAAAAGATCAAGATCTCTGAAACCCCGTGGCTTAAAATGGCACAGGGTGACCGTCACGTAGTCGTGGAGGTCAGACACCTGAGACCACGCTGGACTCCAGTCTGCTGGACTGCAGCCAATATGAAGGCAGGCCCGTGTGCCTGTAAGGGTCCAAGAGTAGACCCCAGCTCCTTGCTCTCAGCTTCCCAGTTTGCTTTCCTGCCTCAGCTTGTGGTCCCACCTCCCATCTGTTTGCTCCCTTCTTGCAGTGTTTTGTCACCCACAGCGTCGCCCTGCATAGTCTATGCTGCTCTGCCTCAGCTGTCAAGTGCCAGGATGCAGAGCGTGTGCCGCCATCCCCCCCACTCCTCTCAGTCCTCCTCTTCCTCCTCCTTTTCATCTTCCCTCTTTGCCCCTTTTCCTTCCTTCCCTCCTGTGTGGTGTATGGTGTATGGTGTACGTGTGTGTGTGTGTGTGTGTGTGTGTGTGTGTGTGTGTATATGTGTACCTGTGCATGCCATGCATGTGGAGGTCAGAGGTCAACATCAAGTGTCTTCCTCAGCCACTTTCCACCTTAGTTTTTGACATGGAGCCTCTCACTGAACCGGGGGCTCACTAATTCAGCTGACCTGGCTGAATGAGCCACAGGGATCCGTCCATCTCCTCCCCTGCTTATGCAGTGATGCACTCACCTGGCTTTTTCTGTGGGTGCCAACACTTCATTGACTGAGCCACTTTCCACCCCTTCTCCCGCCCCCAGCTTCACATCGCCTTTCCTTAAACTGATCCTGTTTTTATAAGATCCTTATTATTCTTCTGAGCCTGTCTGGATAATCCAGGCCGATCTCCCGGTCCCACCAGGCCTTGCTGCCTTGTAGGTCACAGGGCCGGGACCTCACATCTGAGGACATCACCCGGATGATCGTGCTCTTCCTTGTGCACAGAAAGGAAAGCACTTGCTTTCGTGTTGTTTTTGCCAAGCTCCAGCTCCAGCGACGTTTGTCTGGCTTTCCTGTTGTCCTCAGGCAGTGTGCTGTGCTCTTCCTTCTCTGAGGTTTTGCTGGCGCTCGTGTTCCTTTCCCGCTTTCAATTTGGCATTTGCCCCTCATTGTCTTCTTGCTTCTTGTCTAGAATGTCCTGACTAATACCAAATAATAGCCCCGAGACCAGACATCCTTGTATTGTTGGTAATTTCACAAGAAACTGCCTAATTATTCTGCCACTGAGCGTGGTAAATGCTAATAAACATGATTAAGCTAAGGGGCTTCTGAGAAGTTGAGTCCTTGTAAACCAGGATTTTAAGTCAGGAATATATTTAAATGTAGTTGCCATTATGAATATAAAAGTAACCGCGTAGTCTCTTTTATCCTACTAATGGCTTTTCCAGTAATGAGTGTGGATTCTGGGAATCCATTTTTCTTGGGCATGCTGTTTTGTTTTGTGAACTGTGTGTGTTGGACCCTTAAAGGCACACAGGCCTGCCTACATATTGGCTGCAGTCCAACAGACTGGAGTCCAATGGTGTTGACTACATGACAGTCAACCTGTGAGCTGATATGTTCATACAATTTTACTCAAAAATAACAAACAACTGGGTATGCTGATTTGCACCTTTAATCTCGGCACTTAGAAGGCAGAGGCAGGTGGATCTCTTTGACTTCCAGCTTAGCCCGGTCTACATAGTGAGACCCTATCTAAAAAAGTTAAATTAAAATTTTATATGTATGAGTGTTTTGCACCTGTGTGTATGTATGTGTGCCATGTGTGTGCCTGGTGCTCATGGAGGTCAGAAGAGGGTATTGGATTCCCTGGGACAGGAATTACAGGTATTTGTGAGCTGCCCTGTGGAGGCCGGGAACTGAACCCAGGTCCTCTGCAGGAGCAGCAAATGCTCCTAACGGTTGAGCCATCTCTCCAGCCCCTATTGGCTGCTTTGTACTTCTCTGTGTATATTAGGAAGCGAGTTTGAGTGTTTGCTTTGCCATCCCCTGGACAGCTTAGACATCGTGAATAATCTGGTTACACTGAGTGAATTGGAAAACTTCTACTTTGTGTGTGATCTCGAACTGGTGGGATAGTATTGTTCATGCTGGCGCCTTTGCCTGGGCCTGTAGCTCAGTAGTAGGATGCTTGCTAGTGCACGTGAGGTCCTGGCTTGAACCCTAGTACCACAAAAACAACAAGCAATAGCATTAGTAATAGCACTAAGTAGTATTTGCAGTTTGAAGTATCCAGAGACCTAGGCCTGTCTCCTGGGTCTCTACTCCTGCTCGCTACCATCATCTTTCCCTTACCCGGCAGTGGGCTCTGTCCCTCAGACACGAGGAACTTCCTTCCCTGCTGTTCTGGCAGCGTCTGAAGTGAGGTTGTGACTTGTCGAGCATGTTTTCTCTTTGTAAACGTGCTTAGCCCACACAGGAGGGTCAGTCACATCTACCAACTCAGCTTCACTCATAGGAACCTGTCCGGTTGGAGGTTTCCCCAGGAGAGCCCTGCTTCCCATGGGACTTCCCTTCTGGGTGCTGGGGAGTTGTCTTAGTTACTGCAGGGTTCCTATGAATCTGCCTAGCGTTTCAGCTGCGTTCTGCCCAGTTTTGGGGGGCATCGTGGCAGTCGCCTGTGGTATCAGGGTTTGCGGTAATGAAGGCGGTCTGGTAGCTGTGCGTCTGGACCAAATCGTATGAGGCCGTGCGTTAGAGTTTAGATCGATGAGCACGAAAATCAGCAGATTCTGAGAATATGATGTGGACGTGCAAGTCAGGGGAAACCCACTTAATCACAGAGGCCGGCTGCTCGAGGCAGCAGTTTTCACTTCCTCAGAGAGAGATTCTCTTACTGAGATGCTCCCTTTAGTTCAGAATTCAAACTGATGCCCCATTTATCCCAGTGATTTCTAAAGCCCATGGCAACAAGTTCTAACTTAAATTTAGTAAACCAAGGTTAACAGTGACTAGTCTAAACCTAGTAAACCAAGGCTGACAGTGACTAGTCTAAACCTAGTAAACCAAAGCTGACAGTGACTAGTCTAAACCTAGTAAACCAAGGCTGACAGTGACTAGTCTAAACCTAGTAAACCAAGGCTGACAGTGACTAGTCTAAACCTAGTAAACCAAGGCTGACAGTGACTAGTCTAAACGTAGTAAACCAAGGCTGATAGTGACTAGTCTAAACCTAGTAAACCAAGGCTGACAGTGACTAGTCTAAACCTAGTAAACCAAGGCTGATAGTGACTAGTCTAAACCTAGTAAACCAAGGCTGATAGTGACTAGTTTAAACCTAGTAAACCAAGGCTGACAGTGACTAGTCTAAACCAAGGTTGACAGTGTCTAGCCTATATATTTTAAGATGGATGCTCTGGCTGGGTTTTTTTTTTTGTTTTTTTTTTTTTTAGTTCTTAGAGCCTCCCCAGGACCCCTTTACTTAAACACGGACACAATGTTCCTTGAAAGCTTCTGCCCTGACTTCTGACTCAAAACCCTGCTGAATCTGCCCTATGTAAATGCCTTTCGTGAGATAATATTTCAAGGAAGAGTTAGTGGTTTTGTGTTGTCTTTCCATGCAGTGTAAATCCGGGTCTTTCTTTCCTCCGCAGCCAAACAAACCATCACTAATATTTCAGTATACAATGAAACCTGCCTGAGATGGAGAAGCCTGAAGACGGCCAATGCACAAGAGCTGTATTTAGTAAGTTTTTAAAATTTGCCTTGCTTGCAGATATGCACTGTGTGGAAGGTTTAGAACCTATCTAGGGCTGGAGAGACGGCTCAACTGCTCTTTCAGAGAACCCAAGCTCAATTCCCAGCTCCCTCATGGCAGCTCCTAATCATCTATAACTCCATTTCCAGAAAATTCACGACCCCTTTCTGACCTCTGTGGGCACTAGGCATGCAAACATACACATGCATGTATGTAGGTAAAACACTCACACATATAAAATAAAATGAATACATTAAAAATTTTTTAATCTACAAGACTAAAAAAAATGTGTTTGTATCTGCCATTGGCAGAAGGTGTATCATAGGGACTGAATGAGAAAAAGTGAAGAGACACTCCCGCTTGACTCCTTGGGAGTGGTAAGAAAGCGCAGACATTTCTTGAGTGGTGTGTCTTGGTATAGAATTGATGCCCAAGCAGAGTGTCTGGTAGGAGTCTGGTTATCTGTGGTCACGCTGGTGTCTCTGCAGAGCGCAGGGTCTATGTGTGTTGCTCAGACAGTCAAAGGGAACCTGGGAAGCTAGATGATTCCTGAATGAAAGGTGGTCATGGGAAGAAAAGCTCTCCAGCTTCAGCTACTGGATGCCACCAAAAGGAATCAAGTTGTGCCTGGTTAGCTTCCTGATTTTCTCTCTAGTGAAATGTTCTTTGGCCGTGCTTCTGTGGCCTTGCCAACAGGCTTCCGCGCTGTGTGTGCAAGGATAGAAAGAGAAAGGAACAGGCAGCCTGTGGAGGGGCCTCTGAGCTTTGCCTGTTTATTTTTGAGACAGTTTTACTATGTGTCCTAGGCTGGCCTTTCTAGACCAGCGCGGTACAAGAAAAAGTGTGTGCTGCTCTTGCAGAAGCCTGGAGCTTGGTTCCCAGTACCCACACCCAAAGCTCACACCTGCCTGTGATTCCCACCCCAGGGGGTTCTGTGCCCTCTTTTGGCCTCTGTGGACACCTGCACAGAAGCACACACACCCACTCCCCACACACATAAATAAAATATCAATAAATCTAGCCTCTTGAGGACTGTGATTACAACTATCAACCAGAACGATCAGTTGTGTATACTTTTACTATAAAATATATGTTAGGTCCTCATGGTGTTATAATCACTATCTGTACAAATATGTATAGTGTTGAGAATTTACTCTTAGCTTATTGTTGCATTTACTTCTTGGAAAAGCTCTATGGGGCGGGGGAGAAGAGGGTGGGGAGAGAACTCCTGGAAAACGCGTAGGTCTCAAGGCATTCAGAACCTTCAAACCAGTGTTCCACCCTGGGACGGTTTTATCTTTCAGTTCCACATTTGGGGCCAGAGATGGTATCAGAAGGCATTTGTTCTGGAAATAATCTTTAACATCACCAGTAGCAGCCAGGCCCCTGAGATCTGCCTGGACCTGCATCCGGGTACCAACTACAATGTCAGCCTTCAGGCTCTGTCTTCAGCACTTCCTGTGGTCATCTACCTGACAACCCAGATAGCAGGTAACAATAACAGCATTTGGATTAATGAAGTTACCACAGAGCTGTCGGTAGCCCACATACTCCTGTGGCTTTCTGTCGTGATCAATGAAGCTTGAAGAAGGGAGGAAAGATGTGGGATTGGAGAGGGGTATGAAGAGGCAGACAGCTGTGCCTACACTCTTTCATTATCTGAAACAAAATGTCAATTAAATTTAGATAGTATAAACCTGTGAGTTAAGTCCCTTCTGGGTGTTTGAAACAGTCAAAACATTTCAGCCAGGCATGGTGCTTCATATCTATGTCATAGCATTTGGGAGGTGGAGACAAGAGGGTCAGGAGTTCACAGTAAGTTTGAGGTCGGCCTGGGCCAAACCCCTAAATAAACCAAGCAGCAGCAGCAGCAACAATAACAACCAACAAGTCTAAAACATTTTATACCTAAAAAGATTTCTTGTAACTGTTCTCTAGTAACACACTAAACTAGCGTTCCAGTGGTAGTGAAATGGCCTGGCAGTCCAATTGCTCTTTGTATAAGCACTGGGGGACCTGGCACTCACATAAAAAGTCAGTCATGTAACTCAGCGCTGGGGTCAGAGATACCAAGACTTACTGAATAGAGGAGCTCCAGGCTCAGTGCGAAACTTTGTCTCAAAAAATAAGGTGATGGTTCTGCTGTAACTGCCCCTAAGCCTGAGACTGGGATTTTTCCCTGGAGCCCACATGGTGGACGACAGAACCCATCCCTCTAGTTGTCTTTTGACTCACACACACGTGCGCACACACTCACATAGTGCACGTATCAATAGATTTCTGGCACAACTGCCTTAGAGGTAGCTTAGGCCAGGAACATACCAGGCAGTCTACACCCCCAGTAAATTGCCTTCTGCTAACTTATCCCTGGTGTCTTCAAGTCTTTGAGCCCTTACCTCCAGCCCAAATGTAGCTTCTTGCTTTTTGTCTCAGTGAGGAATTAAAAATGCCGAGTGAAGACGCATTTTTCCACACCTCCCATTCCTGCCTTGCTTCCTGTATAGCGCCTTCCCTTGTGTTCCTGTTCCTATCTACAGCTCAAGTGTGTGCTGGATCCTGTCCCTTCTTGCCAACTTCTGTCCAGTGCAGAATTATTGCTAATGCCACCAAGGACATTGCAACAACTTGTTTAACAATGAGCCCATGCCACCCCCAGCTACATTGCCTTCTTCAGCCTTCCCATCATACTTCCTGTATAGCCCAGGCTGGCTTCAACCACGTGATCCTCCTGCCTCAGCCTTCCAGGTGTTAGGGTTACAGGCATGTGAACCACGGCTTGTGTGGCAGTTTCTTCCTGCTTTCACTCATGGCTGTCACTCTCCACCGCAAACTGTGACCTTAGCTTTCATCCTACTTTTAAAAGGGGCTCTCAGCAGCTACGGTGCCTTCTAGAGAGTAAGAACGTGGCTGTGCCTGCTCACAGGTCTCCCGTGAGTTCTAAAGCTAGACTAGAATCCAATTTTTTTTTTTTTTTTTTTTTTTTTTTTAGCACAGAGATTGTACTCCAACCCTGGACTACCTCCTTTAACCTGACTCATCTCCTTCCTCACCAGGCACTAACTCACCTTCTTGCTTTTTCTTTAATGGGTTAGAATTGTCCCTGCTCCAGGCTTTTCCATCTGCTGTTAACTCTTTCCTGCATGGTCTCTCTGAGATTTCCCATGAGCACTCAGGTGTGATTGGTCCTACCCTGTCTCACTCTGCTCTCTTTTGCTACAGCTGACCACGGATTGGGTGGTTTACGAAGACTAGTTTCCTACAGCCCATTGTTTGGATGCTGGAAAGTGTGGGCTGGAGGACAGCATCTGGTCAGAGGTAGTGGGGACCTTCGTGCTGGGCCATGACCTGGCAGAGGTATCACATGGTGAAGTGGAGAAAGTATAACCAGACTACTGGGTTTTCCTCAGACCAGCTCTCCAGATAACCCATGAATCCACAAATGGATGAGCCCACCACAAGGACAAGACCCTCACGACTCCGTCACCTCCCCAAAGTCCCACTTTTCAAATACTGCTAATGTATGGTGTTGACTTCAGGCGTATGATATCGGGGGATCATATTTAAACCATAGCACCCTTGGAGAGGCTTCACCTGACCATCTTTATTTATTTATTATGTATACAATATTCTGTCTGTGTGTACGTCTGCAGGCCAGAAGAGGGCACCAGACCTCATTACAGATGGTTGTGAGCCACCATGTGGTTGCTGGGAATTGAACTCAGGACCTTTGGAAGAGCAGGCAATGCTCTTAACCTCTGAGCCATCTCTCCAGCCCCTGACCATCTTTTCAAAACCCCCCTCCTCACTCGCTACTGTATCACTTTCCTTTAAAGACTTTTAAACTCATGTTTATGGGTATTTTGTTTGCGTGTATATCTGCACCCCAGAAGAGGTCATCGGATCCCATGGGACTACAGTTATAGATGATTGTGAACTGCCATGTGGGTGCGGGGAATTGAACTCAGGACCTCTAGAAGAGCAGCCAGTGCTCCTAACCACTGAGCCATCTCTCCAGCCCCTACCCTATTACTTTCTCTCACTCACCCTCCTTGAATTTCTTCATAGAACTTGCTTTTTTGATCTTAAAAATTGTTTTATTAAATCTTTCTCCCCCTCTAAAGAGGGAGGTTTTGAAAGCAAAGGGGTTTTTCCCTCCCCTTTGTTCATTTCTATTTTGAATTCCTCAACAAATGCTAACGACACGTAGCACAATAAATCCATATTTGTCAAATAATAGCCGGAGGTAACTGATGCTGAGAAGTCAGATCTTATATCAAGAGAAATTCAGAGTATCTTGAGCCGGAGACAAATGATGCTCAATTGAGAGTTTATAGAGCAGAGTAACTCCCATCTCCTAGTCTCTGGTCCTTGTCAGACTTGGTGGGTTTTACCGCTTTAAGAATGTTTCAGTTATACCTCGTGGTTTTTGTTCTCTGTGTGTGCCGCAGGAGGGGGCTGGCCATGGATTATATGTATGTCAGAGGACAACTTGCAATAGGTATTTGTCTTTGTTTATGTCTTTTTACCTTGTTTTGAGACTACACGTCACACGAGTGTCCTGTGTCTGTGCTCATGGCCACCAGGGGACACTGTTGAGCTGTTCAAGTTCACTGGGGCAGCGCAGCCAGTTGAAATATACTGAGATCAGGGCTATTATATGAACTTGCTTTAGAATTGGCAGGATTTGGGGTTTTTTTTTCTTTAGTTTTTGTTTTTCTCTTAGCATGAAAATTCAAATTGGTGTTTATTAAAGCGTTGAGAGCGGGGAAAAAACCCCTTTCATCCCATAAAATTGAGAGAAAAAAGACTCCAATAATGCTGGTATGAAAAGACACTCCAGATGTGTGGGGCACTGTTTCAGCAAAGCCAGGAACGATCACTTGTTACCAGAAATGCTAGAGCAAGGATTTGAGTTTGGAAAACAGAGCGGATGCTTTCCCAGAAGAAAAGCGGATGGAATTTCTCTTCGGTGAGCCTCCCATCAAAAACTAAATCTTGCTGATGGGAACGGGATGAACACAGAGCTTTAAATACAGTGCTGACCTCAGAGGAGATGAAGAGGAATGTAGAGGGGGCAGAGGAGGAGAGGCAGAGAGAGGGTGCTGGCTGGGGGTGGGAAGAGGAGATAAGGGAAGTTTCTGGTTCCTGGTGTGTGAACTAAGGCTGCCCACTGAACAGAGTTCTTCAGAACAGGCTGGTTCATGCCCATCTTTAGGGCTGGGAAGAGAACAAACAAGCTTCTGTCTTTGATGTAGACCCCAGAGAGGCAGAAGGAAGCGCCCTTGCACGTCGTTTGGACTGTTTTCTTGTTGAGTCTAAAAGCTTATAAGCTAAATTTTCTTTTCATAGAGACAAGACAGGAAACAAGAGAAGGCTTAAAGTGGTGGTGGGGGTGGATGCTTCGGAGGGGGTGGGGGAGGGAGAGAACAAAAGCAAGTGTCCTTGTGAATGGGGTGACTAACTACAGTTGTTCCACGTGACTTGTTGGAAGTCAGTCCTTTCTCGTTTTGTTTCTCGTTTCTCATTTCTCGTGAAACCAAGGAAGCTGGAGGAGAAAAGGGAAAAGGGATGGAAGTTAGTTTCCGTGTTTGACTTCAGTGCCAACGCTGGCAACTTGCGTGGGAAGTTTCCCGTTTCTGCTTACCTTTGTAATGAGAAAGAGAAGGCACTTGGGCAGATGGGCAGGAAGGCAGCCAGGACTTCCCGCTCTCTCTGCCCTGCCTCTGGCACCCCTTTTCCATCACCGAGTGACACTGGGGGGCATCACGCAGGACTCATTCTCCTGAGTTGTTCTTCCACAGACTTCTGTTCCATTTGGGGTGACCACCAGCTATTAAAGGGTTCTGTACCTGGTGTCCCCATTGTCCCTAACTGGTTCCAGAGTACCTCAGTGATCTTGGAAAGTCCCCCTGGTGTCAGCAGGGTTAAAGTTACTTTAGAGGTCTGGGTAGGGATTGGCTTTCGCTAGTCTCTTTTCCTTTCAAAGCCCTTGGTAAATCAAAGCTCTTTGATTCCTAGAGACACAGTCTGGGGTTGGGCCAGAAGCTCTCAGGCTTCTGTAGCCCATGCACTTCTCCCAGTTCCCTGAAATACCCCAGTTCCTTTCCATTCCCAGATCTCCAAAGTAAATGACTCAGTAGACGTGAGCATCTCTCTCCTCTCCACTCACTTGGTTCCCATTAGTCTTTATCGAGACCAGATGACCCATCGTGGAAGGAAATGAACTATTTGGGTCACTTTCTTGCATAGACTTTATAAAACGTGTGTGAGACCAGGTGTCCCAGCCTTTAGTCCCAGCATATCTGGGACTTCAAGGCCAGTCTGGTGTGTACAAAGCAAGTTCCAGGACAGCTCGGGCTTCACGGAGAAACCCTGACTCAGAAAAACAAAACAAAAAAGTGCACGTGAAGGCTTTCTTAGATCAGAACACTAAACACCTGAGTTGCTTACTGTAGGTGTGATGGGTGTGGCAGGACCATGCTGACACCCAG